GCTTTGCAGACGCTTGGCTACCACTTGGGGGTCTGCATCCTCGGCGGCTTTCTCCCTCTGAGCAAAATCATCTCTTCCTGCTCTTGATGCCAGAGCAAAAGGGGTGCTTTGCCCTTAAACCTCATCCCTTCATTCATTTAATGGACCCATGTGGCTGCCCATCTTGTAAAGGGCAGCTAACAACACATTAAAAGCAACAGGAAAAAACAACATAGGCAGAGAATAAAAGCCCGCAGATTTGCCAGGGGTAAATCCAAACAAATACGATCAAGAGAAACCTCTCAATGGGCCATCCTGTGTCACCAGAAAACAAAGGGCAACTGGTTTAATTTTCACTGAGGCTGTACAACTTCCTGCCACTCCTTCTGAGTCACTAAACTCTGCAGGAATTTAGATGGCCTTTCAATGCTCTGGATAAGTGCCTTAAAAACGGAGATTTTTTTGACCCCTTTGATGTCCTTCATACATTAAAGTAGGAGTTGGAGGAGTTTCCTTCCATTGGAGGGGGGGAGAGGGGAATTTGCAAACAATCATAATTTATAGGTAGAAAGAAGGGGTCAGCAAAGCCAGGAGTCGTCCAGGTTTAATTCCAGAACTCACCCGTTCAAAGTCAAGGCAGGCATGCTTCTTAACATGTGCAGAGGGCCTTAAGCGTCATTAAGACTCCACCACCCCTTGCCTAGTTCACGCGAGGGTGGGGGCAAGGCTTAAACTATGGCCCCCAAAGACTTTTATGCAGAAATGTGGAACAGGTGCCCAGGGGAAATGGGGAGAAGTGATGTCATGCACATCACCACTATGTTATGGAAATGATGCAATTTTGCAATGTGTGCAATGACATCACGGGTCATGGGTGGGTATGACAGCATTTTAAGGTCATCCCTTTTTCTAAGGGATGGCTATGCAGCTCGTGGTGATGGCGCTTCCTTCAGCCCCACTTGGGCACGTTGACCACAAAGCAGCCCTGGGCTGTGGATGGAGGCTTACCTTCCTGCAGCTGGTGGCCCACTTTGGCCAAATCCTTCTGGGCAGGCGTACTCCCAGGGCCATCCGCTTGGTTGCCCTGCGGCCCGGAAGAAGCCCTGCGGAAGACAAGCCAGGCGCCATTGGTTGGGTCCCCACAACACGCTGAACCCCAAGCTGAGGTTACGGAAGCACAACTGGATTTTGACTGAACAAGCCACACCAAAAATAAGTCAAAGAATTTTGGACAGCACATTATTTTGGTTCAGAAAAGAGGTGCGGGCCCCACCACACAGTTCATGAGGTCCGGTCATGGCCACGTTAGTGTTTTTGAGTCGTGAGGAAGGCCCATCAGCCTCAACTGCTGCCCTCCCCTCCCATCCTTCTCTGTGCCTCGGCCATGAGGTGAACCAGTGCTGTTGCCCACATGCAATTTAACCTGGGTTAGTTTCAGGGCCGAAATGGGTGGATTTCCCGCTGTCCTTTCCACAGCCCTCCCTCTATCATCCAGCAGCAGGAAAACCAGCCCCTGATCCCCCTCCTGAACATGGACAGCGGGATGGACTTGGGGGTCCCATCTTTAATTGGCATTACTGATTGACTTAGCTTTAATTTTTAGAACTTTTTGCGTGCTTCTCTAGCCTGTCCACGGGGGGTAACTTGGGCATCCTCTAAAGAGCACCTCTGAAATGCTTCCCAGGAGATGAACCATCAAACAACTCCTCCCACCATGCAAAAGTCTGCTTGACTGATGGGGAAACCTGCTTTAAAAAGCAGTGGAGACCCCTGAACAAGAGCGAGAGGGTCTCCGTGCCCCCAGGCCTCTGGGACCAGCATCTGCATGTCACCCTAAGCTTGGTTAGCCTGACCTCTGATCAGGCCTTTGGTGCTTAGTGAGG